TTGATGGATTGATTGATTGATTGATTGATTGATATAAAAGAGAAATTAATATACAAGGTAATATTTACACAATTTGAATAATTCTGGTGTGGACCATGAAAATAGTTCAGCAGAACTAGTCGAGTTCATGGCTCTATCACTTAAAATAAATAACTAGAATGAAAAGAAAGTGGTATGGTAACATAGATAAGTAAGTACTTAATCAGAAAAAAACATGAGTAAATTAAATATCTAAGTCAAAACAAAAGTGGTATGTAATAAGAGGCAACTAGCAGATTGCTAAGCAAGTAATAACAAATAAATGACTATTATTGCTATCACTTTGATTTCCTATTTTTCCTTTTTAGTAAGTAATTGTCATACAATATTATATGATAAAATTAGCACTGTATGGCTTGATGTATCACCAGGACCAACACCGCGGCTCACCAGCAACGCCCGATGTATTGAGATGGTCAAGTACAACATGGACGATTTTTCTTTTCTCCGCCTTCCCCATAGGACATCAGTTAGCAACGTTCTTCATGTTTGTAGTCGACCACCTCCTGAGAGCTGGACGTCGCCTCGGGAATCGCGGCAATGGTGCAGGCGAAACATCATGTTGCCACACAGTGCATTGCATCATTTGGATGACAGGATGCTCACCGTGATAAAAGCAAGTTTTTCAGTGATGTTTTAAATTGGTTTCTATTGCGTAAGCTTTTTACTTGGACAGTAAGGGAATTCCAATATTTGGCCGCTGAATATGTGAAGTTATGTTAGGAAAGTGATAAATTCAAACACTGGAAATGGCTGTTGTTGGGTAACGATGGGAATGCTGATCAATATAATGACTGATATAATGGGCAAAGCGATTATTCTTAAGGTCAAATATGAACAAACAAGTGTGAAGTTTGCAGAGTTTGTTAATGTCAAGGATGCCAAGCAAGCTGTCGAAAAAGAGGTCAGAGTGCGTATATAAATCGGAGAAGGTGATAAGTCGTACAAGCATTTTTTTGTAAATGTAGAATTGGTTCAATTAAAGTGGGGTAAGTATGTCCCCATATTTCAATACAATAAGTTAGGTGCGGGAGAATTAAAGTATTGTATAACAAGAGGAGGATAGATTTTGGTACATAATGCCGAATACGTGATATAATAATAACTAATAATAATAATAACTCTATTTAATTAAGCGCAAGAATTCCAACATATGAAGATCAAAGGCGCTGATACAATAAACAATCAGTCAAATATTAAAAGCACATTTAAATAAGTGCGTTTTCAGTCTGGATTTAAAAATGTCTACTGAAGGACTAGAACGAACAGACAGAGGTAATTCATTAAAAAGTTTAGGACCTAAATTTTCAAAAGCACGGTCTTTGTATAACACCTTGGACTTTTTACTACACATCTGACGAGTTTTAATAAGAAACTTCGATTCAGATCTTAAACTACGACTCGGTACATAAAATTTGATTAATTCACATAGATAATTTGGGGCAAAACCATACAAAGATTTATACACTAGTAAAAGTAATTTGAAATTGATTCTTTGTACAACTGGTAACCAATGAAGTTTAATAAAAATGTCTGTAATGTGGTCATATTTTCGAGCACGAGTGACAAGGCGGGCTGCTGCATTTTGTACACGAATAAGAGGTTTTATCTTAGTTACAGGGAGACCAGACAATAATGAATTACAGCTGTCTAAGCGAGAAGATATGAAAGCATGTACCAACTTTTCAGTATCAGATTGGGATAATGATTTACGAATACGATTAATATTTCTTAGATGGGAATATCCAGATCTACAAATAGTAGAAATGTGTGTTTCCATAGATAGCTGCGAATCAAACAAGACACCTAAGTTTCTAGCACTTGACGAAGCACTAATACCCACTTTAGAACTGATAATTTTACTTATTTTCTCAATATGAGATTTCCATGTCAGGGATGGGTCGATGGTTACACCCAAATATGTTGTAATCGAAGCACCCGCTACCCATGTACCACCTATACCTATTTTAGCTTCCACATTGATATGGCGTTTGGGTGTTTTCAAAATCATATAATTTGTTTTTTTCACATTAATGGTAAGCTTGTTGGCCTTGCATCATTTCACAACTTTGTTGAAGTCTTCATTTATAATGTTGAGGTTAACAGTCTGGCTTTTCAGGAATTTAAACAGGTTTGTATCTTCAGCGAATAGTCGAAAGTTGAAGTCGCTTTATTGATGGCGTTAATATAAATAAGAACAAGCAGCCTCTCGGCTGAGATAGCTCCGCTGTTAGCACTGCACATTTCAATTAAAGAACAGAAGATATCATAAGAAAATGAACAATATGCATAGTATCAATGCAATGGGACTTGCTATTTTCAACAAGAATTCAAAAATATCATTTTTCAACATAAATGATTGTGGTTTTTAACAAGAAGTTGAAAATATCACTTTTTACCAAAAATGACAAAAATATTCACCAAAATTAGAGAATTAAAGATATCATTACAAAATGAACAAATCTGAGAGAGGTCCACATGTAGTACCTATATATGTAATATCAAAGCAATTGGACTTGCGGTTTTTAACAAGAAGTCAGAAATATCACTTTTTACCAAAAATGACAAAAATATTCACCAAAATTAGAGAATTAAAGATATCATTACAAAATGAACAAATCTGAGAGAGGTCTACATGTAGTACCTATATATGTAATATCAAAGCAATTGGACTTGCGGTTTTTAACAAGAAGTCAGAAATATCACTTTTTACCAAAAATGACAAAAATATTCACCAAAATTAGAGAATTAAAGATATCATTACAAAATGAACAAATCTGAGAGAGGTCTACATGTAGTACCTATATATGTAATATCAAAGCAATTGGACTTGCGGTTTTTAACAAGAAGTCAAAAATATCACTTTTTACCAAAAGTGACAAAAATATTCACCAAAATTAGAGAATTAAAGATATCATTACAAAATGAACAAATCTGAGAGAGGTCCACATG